GGCTCCCTGCGCGGGGGGCGAGCCCGTCAGCAGGCTCCGAGCGCGGCCTGCCAGCTGACCGCCGCCTTGTTTTCCTTCTTCCCTCCTCCCGTCGGTTTCCTGCCTGGAAGGTCTCCCGATGAGTTAAAATGGTGCTGAGGCTCGAGGGGAGCTGGTCGCTGCTCGTGGGGAAGAAGTTCCTCAGCCTTTCAGAGGAAGAGGACAGGTCGTGGGACACCAATTGCATCTTGGAATGGCCTTGGAAGTCAGGCAGGATACGAGCAGTTTCACACACGGACATATCCAAGCAAGACCTCAAGGTAACCGTCAACTTTCAAAGAGACCTTCTAAAACGAGAGTGCTTAGCCTGTGACTGGGAAACTTCGTGTGCGTGGGGGTGTGTGTGTACACACGTATACGTGTGTGTGTTGTTGGGGGAGAGGTGTTGGGGAACTTGCCTCATTAACGTGCTCCCTTGGCTAAAGTCCCCAGTGTGTTTGTACAAATGCTGGAAATTACCTCAAACTAGTTCTGAACGTGCTTTCTTCCACCAGCGTTTTGAAAACTTCAGGGTTTTATTGCAACCACTGTGCTTAGGCTTTATTTCTGCGTACTTCCTAAATGTAATTTAAAACCCTCTCGGTTGTGAACAGTTTTTTTTTTCCTCCCAGACACGAAACTGAAACTCTCCCATGTTGATGGACTTTTAGTCTTTGGCGTAGCTGGTCGTGGGCAAGTACTTTTACTGTCTTAAAAGACAAACCGAATTCATGTATGGTTTGGGAAGTCTCTTGAACTCTTCTTGCGTGGTGGCCACTTCTTCGTGATTACAAATGGCATTTTCAAACACACAATCAAGTGTTGCAAACTCAGTGTAACTCATGAGCTCTATCATTTGGTTGGAAGTCAGGCAACTTTCACGGTTCTGCTGTGAAGCTCTGAAGGGGCTCTTTGGCAATTGTAGCCAGTAAAACTATTCAATCATGTCTGGGCAATTACTAGAGTATACAAAGCACTCACTACATCGAAACGCCATTGTAGTAACAGTATCTTGTTACATGGTCCTCTTTCTTGTTTCCACAAGTGACTTTGGTGGCAGGCTGTTCCATGACAGCAAGAACAGTACCGTCCTTCAATTGAAACTGTTTCCTTGCCTGTTTTTTTTATTAACATCAAGAACTTTGACCTCTGATTTACTCAAGAAGCACCCGCTCCTTGCAAACAAGAAATTGTACGTTTTTCTAACTCTTGGAATTGCCAACTTTGGGATTTGTTCTGAAGAGTCCCGAGTTGTTGGAGGCCGAACTTCCTGTTGTGGATCTGTGGCAGGGGTGGAGCTTTCTCCATCTTTGGCCGGCCGGACTGTGCTCCTGCCGTACTTGAAGGGAGGAGGAGGATGTTGCTCGTGCAGAAAGCTCTTAAGGACCTTCTCTGGGACTTCAGAAGAAGGAGTAGCTGCTGTTGGGGACTTCACTGAGAGCCTTGTAACTGGTTACAGTTCTGCCAGAAGTGATTGACTTAATGCATTCTCCAGTGAAAGTGTTAAAGAAGTTGCAAAGTAGGCAACTGAGGCGTAGAGAACCTTTGTACCAGAACACATGACTGTCTCCTTTCCTCTCTCACAGCTCTGTGGAAGAATAATGTGTAGCTGTGACCTAAAACAGTAATGGATGGGGGGAGGGGGAAAAGCCTCTAAAAAAGTAGAAATATTTATCTTTAAAATTTTGCTTTTTGTATAGTGTCAGGAGCAAGCTATAGAATAGGACTGTCAACTACTTTTGAAAGTATTTTCTCAACTGTATCTTCCTGTTTGTGCAGTGTTGATACTATAGGCAAAACAAGCCATTCTGGTTCTGGTACTTATGTTATTTGCTTATCTCTTTCTTTGTTTCTGTGAACTTCAAAATGACTAAATTAATTTCTGCACCCATTAGTTTTACAACTCCTGTCTGTGGTAATGCTGATTTGTGTGCATGCTTTTACTTGCCTTTCCCTTAGAGAGGAAACTGAACACAAGGGAATGGTTCTAAGATTCACTCAGCTGAGGTTTCCCTACTGTTAGGGTAAATTCGTTAAAAGTATTTAGAGTGGATTGTTGTATTTTATGTGAAGAGGGAGTGGTTTTTTGGTTTGGTTTTTTTTTTTTTCCCCCCCCCTCCTGAGAGCAGTGTGCTCTACTAAGACATTCCAACTTCTTTATTCAGGCGAAGTTGTATTTGTGGGCTTTCTCAGTCCTTGGTTGATCTTCTTGTCTTGCCTATGAAAGAAGGGTAATGCCATCCCAAAGAAATTGGTCAGGCCATCGTGTTTTTGCCATGAAGTGGCAACTGCTCTTCTCTTGAAAAGTGTGTATAGATGCTCCTGAGATTCATAAAGATAAATACCAGTTAAAGCAGGCAGCAAATGAACCTTCTGCACATGATATAATTTGATCACCTTTACTGGTGTACTGTGGTTTCAAGAAATTAAAGCCATTCTTTGGGACTCATTCTTAAAATATTTCTGGAAAAAGACCTTGTTTATTCAATTGCTGTAGAGTTTGTGGAAAATGTACGTGCCACTACTGTATACAGTCCTGTTAAGTTTTTGGGGTATTTTTTGCAGTGTTCTTCCCTGACTGTAAACACTAGTGGCAGAGTTAAAACAGTCAGCTGCCCTTGAGCAGTAGAGGACTTCTTGAGTTGTAGTATTAAATATTAATGTTTTATGCAACAGTAGTGATGACAAACCTGTTAACACTATCACTTATAAAATACTAGGTCAACCTGGATGCTTTAGGGATTGCTTGATTATAAGACAGAAAGGCAATAATCATGTTTGCACTGTAAGTGCTTTTAATGGTTGGGGTTTTTATTCCTTTTTGGGCGAAGTTGTTGTTTATCCTGTTTAACATTGTATGTGTCTGAATTTTGTGGTTAGTCACTCCTTCACTTTATTTCCTTTCTGTAGATTTGTGTAGAATTTGATGATGAGCCATGGGAAAAAAGAAGATGGATAGAAGTCTACAGCCATAAAATGAAAGTATTCCTGGTGGAGCAAAAGCTGGTCCTGGCTGAAAGAAAATCTCCAGGCAGTTCTGTGTCTTCAGTCCAGTGGCCTGCAATGGCAAGTATACTCTTGGCCCAACTCACTTCAGTTCTGCAGTTCCATCTTCTAAGGACAGTGTTGTCACAAGTGTGAATTTCTCCAGTACAGCTTCGCTCGTGTAGCATTACGTGTAATCTGAAGGGAGGCTAAATCTCGTTGTGCAGCTAGAGCTAGGCAGAGCTTGTAAGCATTTGAAGCTGGTATGTTGTGCCTGGAGATACAGGAATGTGTTGTTATGGCTGTGCTTTCCTCCCAAACCACTGTTCTGTACAGTGTTAATTCCTTCTTCCTCTAGTCTCATGTTTCTTCACTACAATTTCATAAAGCAAGGAATAGGGAGAAAAGAAGTAAATAACAGGTTTCTAAGGAATAGCCTGTATTATCTGAAATTCTTGTTTTACTCTACCTCAAGTATGTTAATTCTTCAGTGCTTCCCCATCTGAGACAAAAATACTTTGAATGACTCTTATGTGATGGTTGCCTGGCACAGATAATTTGAGATCTGGATTTTGTGCATATAAGAAACTGAGCTGCGCTGTACAAGCCAGAGAGCTAAGCTTTCTGTAAGTGCCATGCATGGCTGGCTAGGCAAATTATCCAGCAGAGGTGAACAGAGAACAGTTCCTAATGTATTCAGCCAGTGTAGTTTTGCTTGACTACTTTGGATATCGCTACTCATTAAAGCAGTTGGGAAATAAATGAAGATGTAAACTTGCTGAACACTAATTATGCTGCAGTTGTAGTCCTTGTTTAATGCTCTTACCTTTGCAAGGTATAAAGTATGCAATGTAATTCATATTCCTGCATTTTTAGCTGTGGGTTTACCTGAGCAAAGCTACTGTAAGCAGGTATTTATTGGAACTAGGGCCAAATAGGATGGGAGAGGAGGTGGAAAGATGAATCCTTAAGTTTATTTCCTTAAGTTTACTTTTATTTTAATTTTATTTATTTAAAACTAAACCCCCTTATTTTATTAGCACTTAAGTAATATCAGCAGTTCTACAAGTAGGTTTTGCTGATACAATGTTCTGAAAACCTGCTTATTTAAACTTTGCTGTTGTCCCTGTCAAAATATCTGAGCAGTTCTTACTGGATAACTTCATTACACATAAAGCTTCCTTCATGATGCATCTGAAGGGTCAGTTCATGCAGTGTGTGTGTTTCAAAGCTGGTGTAGCAGAGGAATAGCGTGGGAATGTGGGATATAGCAAAGTGCAATACTGGAGATTGCCTTGGCAAAGCAGGCTTTTTTCTCCCCTTCTGCCACGCAAGACAGGAGGGAAGGGGTCAAAAGAAGATGTGCAGATTAACTTATCTAAATCTTTATCACAACTTAGTGATTCAAGTATAAGGGAGAGTATCTTTCTGGCAAGAGGAATAGCTTTGCAGAACTCTCCTATTGCCTGCTCACTGGAGAGACTCCTGTTCCTCTGACGGTGATACTGACCCTTTGCCTGCGCTGTCCTAGTGATAGTGAAAACAACAAAGAAGGTCTTTGCTTGACCAGTCCTTCAGAAATCCAAACACATACTCTATCAGAATGACTTTCTGGTTTTTTTTTTTTTTCTTTTCAGTAGGGCACACAAGTATACTTTTCATGTAAGGAGGAGTTATTCTTGCAGCTTCTGATGTGTTCCAGGCTCCTGATGCTTACCCACTCAGAGCTGTGACTAGGCAAAATTTAACAGGATTAAATTTTGCAGGACTAGGCAAAATTTAACCTGCAGCATATTAGGAAGAGTTCAGAAGCTTTTAAAGGAAACTTGTTTCCTGTCTGTTCTTAAAGCCTTTGGTATACCTGAACACAACTTCATCATTGTACTGCAGTGGTATAACAACCATGAGGCTATCCAAGTCATCGTGGTCACCTAAACAAAGGCTTCAGTATATTATCTATGTTGTGTGAGCCTGGAGAATTTTGATGTAAGCCATGCAGCAGGCCTTCATTGATTTTTCTAGTTATTGCCCCAGTCTGCCGTAAGGAGGGTTTGTCATTACCATATCTGCAATTGGAACTCTTAGTATTAGTAAAATCTTCATGTTGAGATGAATAATTAATGTTTGCTAATGACAGCCATAGGAACTGAATTCCCAACTCATTCTAATAAATGAAATTAATTTCAAGAATAGCCCAGTAACTTCTGTGAGGCATGCATGAGAAGGTTTATTAGAAACTTGATTTGTTTCAAGAGTTGCATGTAGAAGTGACGTCTTGGTGAAGAAATTAATGTAAAACTAAAATGTATTTTTAAAATGCAAGTGAGGAATGATGAGGTGGTCTTACTCTGTTCTAAGAAAATGTTTATTGCTGTTCTAGACTTACAAATCCTTAGTGGACAAAGCTGGTTTGGGACCAATGGTTTCAGTACGCTATCTCGGTGAAGAGAAATGTGTTTTTCTTTCTAAAGACCTTCTGACACCCATTCAGGTAATCTTTTATGGTGTTATAAAGATGGAAGAGAAATCTTTTATCTTAGTATTTAACATGTCAAGTTAATATATTTTAAATGCAAACTTTAGATGGGTGAAAACTTGGAATAAGTGTGTATTGCCATAACTCATGAATATCAGTTCTGAATGTTACGTGTGTGTTGGTGAAAAACCTTCTGAAGCTGATCCAGCACATGGTGACTTAAGAGAACTGGATGAGGGAGTGTGCTAGGACAGTTAATCAGCTCAGGTGATAGCAATTGCATCCTGTTGATGGTGGGGATAGTTTGGAACAGTTTCCCTTTGTTCTTGTGAACATGAGTGTCATTGTCATAAAAGGAGCTGCAGGAATATCTGGAATAAATTTTGCTATTTAATAGAAACTCATCACTTGTAATCCTGAACAAATGAGGAATTGGGCAGGATATGAATAAGATGGTTGAATCATAGTCCCTTTATTGAAGAGCAGGAGAAAAGATTGTTAGTGAAAATTAAGCAGAGAGAGGTTGAAACAAGTTGCCCTGTGTGACTGACTAGTCAGGCATCTCAAAGAGTAGTATCTGCTAATGATGAAGTACTTCAACCTTTTTGGGAAACTACTTTCAAGGCCTATGAACAGTCTGAATAAAACTAGTAATAGGTGTCCCATGTTGAGACTGCTAATAGTGCCATGGTGTTTGACTTGTTAACAGTCAGGAAATAGACAATTCCTCCTGAGAAATCAACAAAAGAATCACAAAAGGAGTTTGTAGATTGTTGGCTCAACAACAGTAAAAATTTATTTATGTAGAAGCCTTATCTCAGGACTGCTGTAGAGAAGATTGCTTTTCTGGCATCTTGAGTAACAGTTTCTTGTCTACTAGCTCTTCAGCCTTCTGCTGTTTACAAATACCAGAGCTGTGCTTGGGACAAAAAAAACCCAAACCAACCCAACACCTTATTTTATTAGCACTCTGAGCTACTGGTCAAAACTTGCTTTAAACTTTCAGTTTCAGAACCAATTCTAATGTCAAGTAGCTTGTTTTAGATAACAATAGAGGGGGAAAAAAACCCCTAAACTATATAAATACACTATGCTGAATAATTATGAATGACTTAGATGTAGCTGACTGTCTTCATTATATGAACATTTTGTAATGGTGTCTTGAGATGAACTGGATCCTGGCATTGTTATCATAAGCAGAAACATAAGACTTAAAATACTTACATTTGCATCTGTTCAGGACTATGTACAAGTTGCTGCCTCTGAGAACTTAAAATCCCAAATTAAATAATGGATGGTTCAGTTAAACTTAGTGCTCATTAGCAATTCAATAAAATAAAGCCAGATTGTTTTCAGAACAATATTAAAGTAGACTTGGAGAGCTCACTTCAGTCTGGCTTGCAGATGGTTGATCCAGATGAGTGGTAAGGAAATAATGTTTGCCTCAATAAATAAAATATCCTAGGAGCTGAAGGAATGCAGAGTAATACGAAACTTGTTGGACTTGTACGGACTCCTGCTATCTTGTTTCTAAGTACTATGGAGTTTTAATCAAAAACACTAGCCTTAATACCAACTTTTTTTTTTCCTAAATAGGATATGGATGGTTCGAGGCTTCCTCTTAAGGATGATCAAAATGTTAATGAAGAAATCCAGGCTTTGGTTAAGAAACACCTAGACGAAACACGCTTGGTACAAGGTATGAGTGTCCTCTGTAGCAGAAAACTTGGGCAATAAGTACTCAAGTCAAAAGGGAAATCTTTGCTTTGATGGTGTAAATTACAGCAGTCTGTCTTAGGGATAAAAGCTTTTTTAAAATACTTATTCCATGTTTGTTTGAAGCAGGGAATGCAAAATGGAAAGGACTATAAAGATCAAGTCTTTTCTTTGTAAAAGTGGCTATAGTTTAGGCATATGTAGATGGCCTGGCACTTGTGAGAGAACAATGCATTAATAGCAGTTCTCGCTGGAATTATTTGGAGTTTATTGTTTCAAGCAGCTTGATTTTATTTTTTCAGTCTGCTGTTTGATTATAAAAACTCTCGAAGTTTTATATAGAGACTACTTTTTTAATGGAGTTAAAACTGTTACTTTTAGATTTGCGAGCCTCAATTTCTTAATTACTGAGTTCATGCAAACACCTTGTCACGCTTGCGCATGCAAGCAATGTCTCCTATGGAAAGGGAAATAGCGCAACTTAAGAGTTGTCACTTGCAGTACTGTAAAGAAAGGAAGAAGTCTCATCTAACCGTTGAATCTTCGTTTCCTTGTCCACTGATGTGTCTCACTGTCTGAAGTTTGGAGGTCAGTCTGGCGTCTGCTGTGTGTCTTAGCCTCCAGAAAACTTCATTGAGCTATTCCAGGAATGAGGTCGCTGGAACATTGTTTTATCATGCTTCCCCCCCAGCTATGTGGAAGTTGTCTCAAGGTCCTCAGTTTCTTTGGTGTACTTGCTTCTTGCATGTGGTACTGTTGGCAGATCCATGTTGGTAACTGATCTTCATGCTTCCTTTTTCTTAAGCTCTGTTTCCTTGTATCTTTTCAATTTTTAAGGTGGAAAAAATATAATTGGTTCAAAAATTAGAATTTATAGCCTGGATCCATCTACTCAGTGGTTCACAGCGGTTGTTGTCAATGGTAATCCAGCTACAAGAACTCTAGAAGTCAACTGTCAGGAGGTAAGAGCCAGTTGCTGTGGGTTTGGAGATGGGGAATGGGTGAGAACTTGTATTTATATCCCTACCAACAACACTTCTAATTCTGTCCTTGCTGTAATAAGCTTTAAATAAATGGGGATCAATGTAGTGCAGAGTAATTTTTTACCCCATAGTGTTTCTGTATGCTGCTGGTAGAATTAAGCAATAACAAATGGCCTTTTGTGCCAAATGAGGAAGACTTGGAATTTTCATTTGAAGAGTCAGGCAAACATATGATTCTTGTTTCTTTGCTTTCTATAATGCATAGACAGTGCTTTGAAACGCTGGTGTGTTTTCATGCAGCGGCACTGTCATGGCAATGCATCATTAAATTCAGCTTGGTATTCAAAAAAACCTAGTTAAGTGTCTAAGCTAAGGCTGTACCGCAACATCTGACATAAACGCGTTGCAACAGTAACTCACACCTCTCTAAATCGCTGCTTCTGTGTTTTTGTTCCTTTCCAAGATTCCAGCTTTAAAAACTCTTGATCCAGAGCTAATTCACGTTGAAATCATATATGATGACAACGGAAAATGTGGTAAGACCTATTATTGTTTGTTCTTCAAACACTCCGTAGCATTATCTGTGATAAATAGACTAATCTTGATCACCACCTCTTCCAGATAAACCTAAAAGAATTGGGGGCATAAAAAGGAAGTCATCTGAGAATAGTGGAGGTGTTGATGCTAAACACACAAAATCTTCTCCTGAGGTAACGTCTTACTATGTTATATATGACTGTTATATAATGGTTATGTCATTTCTCAGAAGAGTCTTGAATAAAGGATTAGATAGGAAAGTGGAATAATGAATATAATCCCTGGAAGGGTGTGTTGAGTTCTTCTAAAGCTTGTCTAGGCATGGGTAAAACATCTTGCCTTGTGACAACAGGAGGAAAAGTTACTGAGCCTTGAAGGTTGTTTTCTTTAACTGCTTTTTGCCCCCTCCTTCTGCTTAGGAGTTAACCTGCCTGGTCACGTATTCTGTAGCGGGAGATAACGTAAAGCAGTTCTCAAGCTTCTAAGCTTTGCTTTTCACATTCTGCCTTGAACTATTTTGTACTTAAATCCAAAACCTTCGGCCGCAATCGCATGCTTCTGGCATTCAAGCTCATACAAGCAGCAGTCTGGAAGAATCCTTTTTTCAGTACAAAAGGGGAATATGACTACTTTTCTAGTACTTCCATGTCTACATTTATTTTTTGCGACTGGCCTGCCAAGTGTCACAGAGATCTAAGAAAACTGTCTCAAAGGTCAAAAGACAGCCTGGGTAACTAAAGTATGGAAAAGCAAGTGAAAAATTATGGCTTGGCTGAAGAGCGATACTTCAAACTTGCCTTATAATTTTGCCCCACTGTTTCAGACCTAAACCCACGTTTTAGCCTTCTGGAAACTCAAGTGTTGGGGGGGTGGGAGGGTTGAGCTTTGTTTGTTTTACTTGGGTTTTTTGTGCAGTCAGTCCTGTGCTGAGCCAACTGTATAGATCTGCCTAATGACTAGATGTTATTAGAAATCTTTAACTGCTTCACAAAGATACAGCATAAGGTGGCAAGTACAGGATAAGATTCCTCAGTGGAGAGTGATCTATCTTGTATTTACTTCTGAGGAGAAGCATGCAGCAAATCAGCGTGAAGTAACTTGTATGTTACAGTCATACTCTGCTTATGTTGTTTCTGTAGCTCATGCTTGAGTACCTCTAGCATCTTTCAGGTGCTCAACTTGCCAGTCTAGCTTTCTGCACATTCAGCCACTGAGCAGCCTGCTTGATACATGCAAAGCTGGTCTTAACTTCTACAGGACGTTTGGAATTTGAAATAATGATCTGAATTCATGGTTGGTTTCACCACAGTTTTTCCTTGAAGTAGTGAAGTTACTGACTTCGGATTTTCTAGTCTGTCTTCCTTTGAAGGACTGGATCCTTCATCTCTTTTGTACCATGGGGAAATGTCTTGCAACTCTATTCTCAAAATGGTTAAAAGTGAGTGTACTTTCTAAGAAGAAAACCAGAAGCTCTGCTTGTTTCTGATGTTGGTAGATGCAAATATATGGGAGTAATGCTGAAGCCATATTTTTTGTTTTACTTAGTGTGTGATAGTATTCTGATTGCTAATATGGGGTTAATGAATTCCAGCTTTTTTGAGAGAGCTTGTCTTGATGTCTGACAGCTGTGTTACACCAAAGCAGAAAGGAAATACTTTGGAGTTGGTGGTAACGAGTCTGAAGTGTAACTTCTGGCAGTAAGTTGAGAATGTGGGAGTGGAATATGGATGTTAGAGCTGAGGAAGGAGCCCTGCAGAAAACTGCTGTTACAAAGGCACTTGCTAATTTGGTAGGCCTGTTGTATTCCTAAAAGAAGTCTAGATTTGTGAGGCTAGTGATTTAATCAGGACAGGATTTCTTTCCTTAATGCTTCCTAGAGTCCTGGAGCAAAGACTTTTTCAACTACAAGGAAGTACACACTGAGATTTTTTGGTAGTGTTGTCAGACTAACTTCATTCATGGTTTCAATTTTCTCTAGGATTTTCAGATAAGCTCCGAAAGCTATTTCTGAATTCTTATTACTGCAGTTATTTTGGAAATATAATTGCACTGGCAGTTATGAGGAAGAGAGCTTTCTAGCCTCCTTTCGAGCTTCTTAATAGATCTTCCTTTCCCCAAAAAAACCATTTAACTGGGAAATTAACATGAGCAGTGTTTCATGGAACATACAAGGTTTAAAAGGACATAAAGGCCTTTCTATCTTAGGGACTGAGTGAGGAATGGTCTTCAATGAGCTTTATTAAACACAGTAGGAAGGACAGTGATGTACTTCTTAAGCTGAACCTTGCAAACCCATATTTCTGTTACTCTGTATTTTCCTAACTGTTAAAATCTCCCTTACAGGTTTCTCCCAATCAGGGACATGTGCAGTCAGTACCAACAGTTCTGGATGAAGCATTGCTAGGATGTACTCCTGCTAATAAAGACCAAAGGCATCAAGGCCTGCCCTTGCCAGCTAACTCACCACCCAATCTCAGTGCCAAAACTCCTCAGGGGTAAGAATCATTTTATGCTTATGCAGAATATTTTTCTCCTCAAAAAAATAACTCTAATTTTTAGCAAAACAAACTTGGAGATCATTTTCAAGAACTGTAATAACTAGTCTTCTGTAATATTGGCAAAGTGTTAATTGCCCTGGGTACATAACTTGCTTATGCAGGTTGTTGGATTTTTTTTATCTTTGAGGTAGTTGCTCTTCAATGTTACAAGCCAGTGTTAGTGCCTCGTTGCACCCATCTGTAAACTGATGGGTTATGCATAGGTCTGGTGCCTAGTTTTTGTCAAACATTCTTCCCCCACCCCCAAGGAAGATATATTGCATTCAGGCACGTGTCCTGTGTACTGGCTTCTTGCAGATCAAGTACAGGGCCTCCATTATGTTTCTGTTGAGTGCCAGTGGCTTTAAACTTCTTGGTTACCTGGAGGAGGCTAGAAAATGTCCAACTGGGTGTAAAACATTCCAGTAAGAAGTTTCTTACTCCAAACTTTCATTGAATAAAGTTGAGCTGACAGTACCTTTCCATTATAGAACTAGCTCTTAACTTCTACATCAGCTGTGACAGGAGGAAAGGTGGTCAGGGGCCTGAGGCAAAGGGTATGTTTTAGTCAATTCTCTGACCATGGCAAGTATGGGAACTGTATTGTACCATGTAACTGTTCTACAAAGTATGAATCACAGCTCCTTCCCAACTTGCATAATTTGGAGGCTAATATATTCATAGAATGGTTTGGGTTGGAAGGGACCTTAAAGATCATTTAGTTCCAACCCCCCTGCCATGGGCAGGGACACCTTCCACTAGACCAGGTTGCTCAAAGCCTCATCCAGCCTGGCCTTGAACACTTCCAGGGATGGGGCATCCACAGCTTCTATGGGCAACCTGTTCCAGTGCCTCACCACCCTCTCCAGGAAGAATTTCTTCCTGATACGCAGTTTAAATCTCCCAGCCTTCAATTTAAACACCTTACCCCCTCGTCTTGTAAAAAGTCTCTCCCAGCTTTCTTGTCAGCCCCTTCAGCTATTTGAAACCTGGCCTTGAACACTTCCAGGGATGGGGCATCCACAGCTTCTATGGGCAACCTGTTCCAGTGCCTCACCACCCTCTCCAGGAAGAATTTCTTCCTGATACGCAGTTTAAATCTCCCAGCCTTCAATTTAAACACCTTACCCCCTCGTCTTGTAAAAAGTCTCTCCCAGCTTTCTTGTCAGCCCCTTCAGCTAGTTGAAAGCTGCTACAAGGTCTCCCCTGGAGCCTTCTCTTCTCCAGGCTGAACAAGCCCAACTCTCTCAGCCTGTCCCCATAGCAGAGGTTCTTCAGCCCTCTGAGCATCTTTGTGGCCTCCTCTGGACTTGCTCCAACAGGTCCATGTCCTTCTTACATTGAGGGCCCCAGAGCTGGATGCAGCACTCCAGGTGGGGTCTTACGAGAGCAGAGTAGAAGGGGAGAATCGCATCCTTTGACCTGCTGGCAATGCCTCTTGTGATACAGCCCAGGATACGGTCGGCTTTCTGGGCTGCCAGTGCACAGTGCCAGCTCATGTCCAGCTTTTCATCCACCAGTACTCCAAGTCCTTCTCAGGGCTGCTCTCTATCAATTCTCCACACAGCCTGTACTTGTGCTGTGGAGTGCCCTGACCCAGGTGCAGGACCTTGCACTTGGCCTTGTTGAACTCCATGACGTTGGCAGTGGCCCACCTCTCCAGACTGTCCCGGTCCCTCTGGATGGCATCCCTTCCCTCCAGCGTGTCGACCACACCACACAGCCACTGTCACTGGTCTCCACACACACTGTTGACTGCAACTCTGTATGTGACCATCTGAACAATTCCTTATCCACCACATGGTAACTTCACCAGACTGCCATGACTTTTCAAATATGCTGGCTAGGGGCTTGGCAACTTCATCTGCCGGTTAACTCAGGACATTTCATCAGGTCTCATGGACTTATGTACCTTCATGTTCCTTAGGTGGTCTTGAACTTGGTCTTCTCCTACAGCAGGTGGTGCTACATTCTCCCAGTCCCTGCCTTTGCCTTCTGCCACTTGGGTGGTGTGGCTTGAGCACTTGCAGGTGAAGACAGAGTCAAAGATGTCATTGACTACTTCAGCCGCCTTCACATCCTGGGTAACCAGGCCTCCTGTCTCCTTCCTGAGAGGGCCTACAATTTCCCTAGTCTTCCTTCTGTCACCAGCGTACCTACAGAAGCTGTTCTTGTTTCCCTTGATGTCTCTGTATGTGTACCCCCAATTCACATTAAAAAATGAATATATATGGTAGAAATAGTGTGACAGGAAAACTCAAATTTTGTGTATTAGCTTTAAAAGAAGTCGTATAGGGTTTTTTCCAACTTAGTTTTGTGTATCTCTCTCTCAAGATAAATGTGGGAAAGTTTTTATTTGGTTTGAGCTTTTTGTGTGTCAGCGGTTATGCTGTTTCAAGTATGGACTTGCAGTACCAACCAGAAGTCCCTTGAGTATTAGAATCGCCTCACGCAGACAGGCAAGTGAAATGTGTTTGGTTATACAGCAGTTGCATGGAGAAAATGAAAGTAACTGTTTAATTGTGAGAGAAAGTAGTGGAGTAGATACAGATGTACACAAATTTAGGTACTGCAGCTGTGTACAGCTTTATCTTTTGGTCCAGCTCCTAATAAAATCAAAACCAATGCCCTCCCCCACCTCCTGAAAAAAACCGCCAATCTATTTAACCTCATGCAAATGTTCAAATCTTGGAACATCAGAATTCGAAGTGTGTGATTAAATTTCTTTTTCAGCCTTTGAATGTGACTGGATTGAGCAGCTGATGCCCTCAGATTTGTTTTGACACCTTTTTCTTTATCTGATTATTGCGTGTTTTGTGTTTCAGCACATGTAGACGAAGCTTACCGGAATCTCATCCTTCTTGTCTTAATACGGGAATTAAACCACTGAAGGAAGATCTGACGGCCTTTCCTAAAGTGGGGTTTATATCTAAACAACAAACACAAAATGTCAGTGATCAAAATAGTAAATACACTTCTTTGACAACCTCAAGATCTTCATCTTTGACTGATTCAGCTAGTGAAAAAGGAACCAATCTGAAAAATACAAATGAACCTCTTAAGAAGCCTGCCACAGACTTCCCAAGAGAGTGCGTTTCTGTGAAACAGTTGCAACACCTTAACTCTTCCATAGCAATACCCAGAGTCAGTAGCACTCTCGAACTGCAGCGGACTTTAGATTGTAGACCCTCAACCTCAGATGCTCATCTTCTCTCTTTCACGGAATCTGGGGTTAAATCGCACAGCAATTGCAATAGCCAGAACAACCACAAAGGAAACAAGTTGGAAGAATTTATGGACATGGATTTTATTAGAAAAAATTCAAATGAGATTCTTTATGACAGAAATGAAAACGAAAGCTTTTGGACTGGCAGTGCCAAGATCCAGGATAATAGTAAGTATTTTTAAAACTTCCTGTCACTTATAGCTTCAGTGTAACTACATACAGGCATGTCCAGCGTCACATATGCAAAAGTTACGAATTTAAGTTGTGGGGGGGTGATCTGGAATTTGTTGTTTGTGGGTTCTTTTGCAAGGGGAATGCAATAAGCTTGAGAAACTCATCCTTTCCTGATAAAAGGGACTAATGATTAACTTCTAGAAATGAGTTGTTACACAGTGGAAAACAAGTGTGTGTTTGGAATGCAAATGCTGATGACATAGTGAGGCTGCTTTTATTTAGCAGTAGTCCTAAATTTTCTAAGCATTGTGGGAGGGGGAAGTTGTTCTCAACAAAGCTTGGCTCAAGAGGGACTTTCATTTAGTAACTGTTCTGAAAACAAACAAAAAGATGCCATCCAACCACCCAAGCCCAAAACAACCCACCTTGTTTGCTTCTGTGGCCCAGCTCCTCTTGGTGAGCTCTTGAAGCTTTCCGTGTGGCAGAATGGGGAAGGCTGTAGTTGTTTATGAAGCGGGACTGCTGATGTTAGGTATTGTGCTGGGCATCAGGCAGTACAGCTGATCATTCAGAGGTTCTGGGAATCTCCTCACACACCCACCTCCTCTTTCTTTCCTATCTCATGTCACTTGGTCTTGGATTACCATGTGCTTTTCCATAATTAACACGGGTACCCAGCCAGCCAAGCAGTCACTGTGTTGTGCCCTCGCCCGCAGTGTGGGAGGCAGAGACATTTGGCATCTGTTACAACGGCTTTCAACATCTGACTGTGTTGTGAAGGGTGAAAACGGGACTGAGAAATGGCCAGGTCGTACTTCTGTCTTCAGTACTTGTGAAATGTGGTTGCTTCATGCCCTGGGCTACTCAGAGAACTGGTGCTCAGGTATTCCAGCCCTGATGTCTGAAGAACTTCCATTAAAAGCTGACACTTTCAAAATACTCCTCTGTGGAGGAGTGAAAGAAACTCTTAAACTTGGGTCCACAGACTGACTGTGGAACTATAGCTTGAGAATGTTTCTGCTGCCCTGAGAAGAGGCTTCTGCTGACTGTAAATATTTTAGCATAACTTTGTTTATGTAATGTGAACCTTATTGGAAAAGTTGTCCTGGATCTTTTGGCAAAATACATTTGCTTTCACCTTTCTATGAGAAAGTGAAGCTTGTCTAACCTACGTCACTCTTCCCTGCAGTAATTGTTCGCAAGTCCATTTTAGCAGATGCTGCTAAAGTGAAGAAGCTGCAGCAAAGTGGAGAAGCGTTTGTGCAGGATGGTTCCTGCAATAATATCGCACCTCACTTGCATAAGTGCAGGGAATGCCGTTTGGACAGTTATCGGAAGAACAAAGAGCAAAGAGACTCCACTGTTTTTTGTAGATTCTTTCACTTCAGAAGGTAAGAACAATTTTGACTCTATATAGACCTTGATATTCTCTAAATGTGAATAACATGTCCCACGTCTGAGTTGAGCATACGACCCTTTGCTGAAAGGGTGGCTGTTGAGTGCTCACCGTTAGCTGTAACATGGGTCTTCATCTTCCAGGGCAGATGAAAAGATGGTTATTTGGTCAAAGTGGTCTCATTTAGGTGACTGGTTCCAACCTGTTAGATGTCAGTGTGTAGCTGTTGAGCTATAAGGCTGATACACCTAAGTAATGAGGGGTCGCCTGTGTATTTTTAGCCCTTAGACATTTTATAACTGCTTCATTTGAGTAGAAAATGTTTTGGCAGGACTTTGAGCTCTTTATTTTGCGCTTCTGGGCTGAGTGCCAACGGGATAACAGGCTTAGTTTGAGTGCTATGGCTCACTACTGGAGGTACTAGTGAGAGGGTAGATTCCACGCATGTCTCCTGAAGTCTAGCGGTTGGACACATTGACATGTTAGACGTATATCCACAGTTGGGAAGAGTTTCAGTAAGTGGCCAGGGGCTTTCAGCTGGAGTTGTGGAATAGTGGTGGGCAAAATAATAATATACATTGTGTTGCTCAGTTCTTGGTTCCCCTTTACACTTGAGTTTGTGCCACTTCTTTAAGCTTGCCATAGGGAGGTTTAATGGCCATGCTCACTGGGTTTCAGGAGGGCAGGTGGGGTGGGTCAGAAGGCCAACTTTAAGGAAAATTGGGTGACTACCAAGTGGTGGTTGCTTTTCCAAACCCAATCTGCAGTTCCAGATCCTTTGCACCTGTCTGTGCCGTGTCAGAGCCTGATTTTCAAGTTGAACTATCAAGGTTTTATCTTTTTAGCTCTTAAGGCACAAGAGGAATCCTTTTAAAAAGGGCATTTACCTTACTTGAAGCCTGTCTCTAAGCCTAGGGTGGATGTTGTCAAACTGCAGTGTATGGCTGTTTTTTAACATGTCCCTTCCTTTGTTTTCAAGTTGTGTAAAATATTTTCCATTAAATACTTGACCTCCTGTTGTTGCGTGCTTCTTATTTCATTTCCCCCCACACCCATTGAAGCGCTGTCATGGACTGTGGTTTAGGGGAAGAAGGTGACACTTAAGCTGTTAGAGAGGAAACTCAAAAATACTAGTTTACCACAAGGGAGATGGGAAGCTTGCTTATTCTCCCTTTTCCTTTTGTTTTTCAGAGGAATGACTTTCTTTTGAGTATCTAAGTAGAATTTTAAAACAGCTATAGGCCTGGAGACCTTTTGAAAACAAAAGTGAAAGCAGGAAAGTTACAAAGATCATGCAAAAAATATTCTGCTCTTGTTTGGTTTCTTGAGGTTTATTCTTCCACTGCAACACCCCTGCTCCCTTAGCAGGTTTTGTAGCTGAAGGTTTAAAAAAAAAAAAAGGAAGTGTGACTAATGTATTATTTAACCTCAGATATTAGAGGTTTTACTACAGTAAGTCTTGGGATAATCTGACATTAGCTGAAATGTTACATGTGTGAGACCGGAGTAACGACAGACTATGCTAATTCACCTTCTCAGGGTAAAAATCCAGACTTGTAGTGCAGTTCAAAGCAGCTGAATCCTTCAGTCTAGAAGTTCAAGCTGATGAAACTGTCCCTTTTTATTGTATGTGAAATCTGCAAAGTCTGAAGATGGTGTGTGATGTCAGTTGCCAGCACATATTTTCCTGCCATACTTAACACTCTAGTGAACACATGTCATCAGAAGTCAACTTCCCTCTGCAGCGTTTGATGAAAAGGTTCCTGAAAACATGAGCAGAACTCCTGATGTGTTTTATTTAATAAACTACCAACAATACAGATTTCATTCTTTTCCACCTAACCAGAATCACTCAAGCATATATCTTATTCAAGTTTTGCTTGATGCTTTTTTTGGCACCTGTTTCCAAATTGTTAGTGAAATATATCCTATATTTAAGGCGTTCTAAGTTCTCTTATAAGTTGTACATCATTCTAGATTAAATCCTTACTGTTACCTGCTCTAGATGTGATTCTTCATGCCCATGTATTTTAAAAATTGTTACCCCGATTTGGTTAAATAATAAAAAAATCATCTTAGGAAATCTACGTTACTATGAAAGATGCTCTGAGGCTTTTCTTTAAAAAGGCAGTACATTAAGCACGCTTAACGCTAATGACCAGCATGTTTACCTGTGTCTGTTGTAACCATTGAGTGAAACTCGTTGCCATACAGTCTACATGTTTACAATTCGGGCATTGACTCATTGAAATGAATGTAAACTAAGGAAATGCTTGAGATGATGGGATTTTCGCCTTTTCCCCCCTCTTTCCACAGGCTGCAGTTTAATAAGCATGGAATACTGCGTGAGGAAGGCTTCTTAACTCCAAATAAGTACGACCCTGAGGCTATTAGCTTGTGGCTGCCTTTATCAAAAAATGTTGTGGGTCTAGATCTCGACACAGCCAAGTATATCCTAGCCAACATCGGAGACCACTTCTGTCAGCTCGTAATATCTGAGAAGGAAGTTATGTCTACGATTGAACCACACAGTAAGATCAGTTGGTGTTAAAATAATCTGTATTTTAAAGCTTTATGTGAAAGTTTAAGCTTTTGACCTGCGTGAAAATACATTGCACGCATGCGGAGATGTCGCGTAAGACTTGGGTGTTTCCTGCTCTTCTCAGAGGAAGGTAATGATTAAGACCTAGTGTGGACTAGTGTCAACAGCTCTTGGCTCACAGGCAGGGGGAAAGTAATTCTACCCTTCTTCGTCAGAATACTCTTCTTGATTTATCAAACTACTTCTCCTGTGGCAGAGTGTACTTCTGTTATGAAACAAAGTGTAAAAAAAAAATAAAAAGGCAGCAGGCAGCTGACAACAGTCTATTCTTGGCATGTAAGGGAAATAAAAGCTTTCATTTTGACTGCACAGATTGTTAGATTGCTTTGGTCCCATTCTGGTTTTCTTGCATAATGGACCTAATGCTGCCTGTCAAGTCAGTAAAGAAATCTTTTTTTTTTTTTTTTTTCCCCTCCTCCACCTGCAAGTTTCTAGTAGGACTGTTTGAAGTGATTATACATACAGCCCTACTGGGAATAGACCAGAAAGGTGCTGTTGATGGTGTAGCTGACCGTGTAGCTTCAAGGATGCAGGGTTTACTCTGTCTGCACGGATGAACATGAGTGTTTGGCCACACTGCCACCTTTCTGTAGCAAACAAGCAGACAAACAGGGAGGGTTGTGATTTGGCATAATCACTTCTCAGACAGTAGAAGGACTCTCAAAACCATATTTGTTTTTGGATTATAACTACATGACACATGCAGTATATTTTGAAGACTGCCTACCAAATGTCCTCTTCATTCTGGGTAGTATTAACATTATGTAAAGATCACAGAATGGTTTGGTTTGGAAGGGACCTTAAAGACCATCCAGTTCCAACCCTGCTGCTATGGGCAGGGACACCTTCCACTAGACCAGGTGGCTCAAAGCCTCATCCAGCCTGGCCTTGAACACTTCCAGGGATGGGGCATCCACAGCTTCTCTGGGCAACCTGTTCCAGTGCCTCACCACCCTCTCCAGGAAGAATTTCTTCCTGATATCCAATCTAAACCCCCCCGCTTTCAATTTAAACCTGTTCCCCCTTGTCCTGTCACTACAGGCCCTTGTAAAAAGTCCCCTCCCAACTTTCTTGTAGACCTCCTTCAGGTACTGGAAGGTGCCATAAGGTTGTCCTGGAGCCTTCTCCAGACTGAAAAACCCCAACTCTCCCGTGGTTGAAATTATCCCCATGTAGTAGAATACTGACCCGTGTAGAAAGAACTGGTTGTTGGGTCACATTGCTCATGGGCTACCAAAAGGACACCTACAGAAAGAGGAGATAAGGTCAAACAACAGAGAGGAAACAAAAGAATAGGAGGAATGGAAAAGGACAAAATTCAGAAGACTGAAAAATGAAATTATGTGCGAAAGATAACAAAAATCTCCTTCATTCTATTTTGGGGAAATTGGAGGATTGGCCTAGAAAATGGTAAATATAGTACACTTTTTTTAAAAGGAAGGAATAATGGAGCTGGTGAGATTTAGACCACTGTCTCCTGGAAGAATTTCCAAGCAAATAGTCAAACAATTTTTAGCTCCTCCTGAAGAACAAATTGTGCTAAGCTATTCTAGTTTTGTTCCATACATAGTTAAAGGGCATTATACACAAGAAAAGCAACAGATGTCCTGGATCTTGGTGCGTGGTTTGGGGTTTTTTTGTTTGTTTTTTTTTTTTTTAAGCATGCGTTAGGACATGGTCTCTTAAAATTTGCTTTTAAAATTAAGAAACATTGTGGGCAGAAAAGTTTCAGAGACATTACACGTGTGGAAGGAGGTAGGAGGAGGCAGATACGTGCTTTCTGTCTAGTTGTTCATCTCTCCACACGATGAAATGAGGATCAGGCTAAAATAATGTGTCCTTAATGCAGCCTTGGAGGGGTTTGTAATTTTTTTGGGATGTTTTGAGTGAACTGAAGAAGTGACTTGGGGTGAAGAAGGTGGAATATAAAGGGTACATAAGAAACCTGGATAGGAGAGGTCATCTCTTCAGAGAGGAGCAACTGACCATTCTGAGGAGGTCTGTTGCACACCTGTAAACATATAGAGCCATCTACTAAAAGATGAGCACTACTTGTCTTTGTCCTCTGTTCAGTAGCACAGTGGGCGAGCTGGTTGTGGCAACCCATTTGTTTTTCTGGAACGGCTGTGGAATTTGCTCTTAAGAGAATGTCAGCAGCCTGCATGTTAACTGGGGTGAGCACATGTCAGGAGTAAGAGATGTAGCTGGAGAAAGCAAAATTTCTTCTGGCCCTGATTTTCTACATCTCTAAGAGCAAAGGCTTTGTTTTGGAGTTCCAATACAAAGCCAAGTCGGAGTCTTATATCACTTGACATATTTTCATGTAGCTATATTTAACAGGCAAAGACTCTGTTCTGTTTAAACTCACACTTTGTCTGCTCTGCCAATTACCACAGGGCAGGTGGCCTGGAAGCGTGCAGTTCGTGGGGTTAGAGAAATGTGTGATGTCTGTGACACCACGATCTTCAACCTTCACTGGGTCTGCTCTAAGTGTGGCTTCGGCGTGTGCGTGGATTGTTACAGGATGAAGAAAAAAAGCTTCCATGAAGGTGAGAATGCATATTGCTACTTGAATTAAGGGGGGGAGAGAGGTAAGAGAACCTGTATTTTGAACTTGGAAGTCAATAATGACCTTAAGCAACAAGCCTGTACACCTTCCCAACAAAAAAACACATTGTAAACCCGTGTTTTGGTGTATCAATAGTACTGAAATCCATAACTTTCCACAGGAGGATGAAAGATGCACTTATGAAACAGTTGAATGGTTTTGTTTTACAGATGATGACTCGGATACTTTCTCCTGGTTTAAATGTGTGAAGGGGCAGGTACATGAACCGGAGAATCTAATGCCTACACAAATCATTCCCGGAAAAGGTATTTTAAATATTTGATTGGGAGGAAAAAGTGCTGTAGGCTTCTGCTGTCTTTTGTGTGTTGCTGATACTGTACTGAGTGAGGGTTTTCTTAAGCAATAAAGTTAGTAAAAGCTCAGTGTTATTGTCCAAAGGCTGGAACAGCCTGTGTACATAGTACTATTTTATTATCTATGACCTCTAGAGAGAAGTAGCAAAACTTCTTGCTTAATGATGAACTGTGTTTGACTGCTACTGTTGACCTGGATAGCGTACAGACTTTCTTATGAAGTGTCACTGAATGCTGGATGGTCTAATTACATGTGAACTTGCTAATGACTCTCTCTTCAGCTCTCTATGATGTTGGTGATATTGTCCACTCCGTAAGAACCAAATGGGGAATAAAGGCAAATTGTCCCTGCGCAAACAAGCAGTTCAAGGCACTATCAAAGCCAACTCTAAAGGAGGATTCAAAACAGGTATTGCTTGTCTCGCGCTATGTCTGTGTAGTATGGCTTTGCTTCAGTCTACTACCCGTATTTGAAGCCAATGGTAATTGAGTTTAGGTGTGCCAGTCGTGGCCACTGATAACCTCACCATGTAGGGTTTTGTTCAAAATTTGTTCAAAATGGCCAAAGATTGAATTTGGACGTTTTCTTGCTTGCTTGTCCTTTCTGAGCAGAGTGTGTGTGTCTAATCCAGTTCTCACTTTGGTTTTTCAGAACTTGGTACCTGGCGAGAGGACCAGCCTTCAACACAGCAGTTTTGTCCTGAGCCCCCAAGCCACTACACACGATCCCCCTCTGAAGTCAGCAATTGCAAGTAAACAAACTGCTTCAGGAAACACTGCTCCTTCATTAAGTTGGCTGTCAAACCTAACAAGTGGAAACGTGAACAAAGAAAACAAAGGTACGTGCAGAACCAGTGAGGAGTAAACCCGTTGTGTCTCTCTGTCAGCAGAATGTAGCTCAGAGCCAGCAATGCCTTGCGTGGAGAAGGATAGGGTCTGCCTGCTGGGATGGGTGTTCAGGGCCTGCACTGCAGTACTGGTCCATGGCAATGACTGAGAGTAAAACCTGCCTGGCTTGGGATATTCATTTTTTGAAAACTGGATTAACATCCCATTGAAAATCCAGTTTGAGAATGTATTTATTTTAGAGTGTGTGATACTAAATACTTTGGAGTATTGAAGAAAATGAAGTGATGGGAGTATTTAATCTGCATGTGTTGAGAGGAGAGAAATATATATATGTATATACACACATGTATGCAAATAGGAGTGTATTGTCTTAAAATAAGCATGTACTCCTCATGATTCAGAGGATTAATCCTTGCTTTATTCTTAGATGTGTTCTTTCCTTTATTTCAGAGAAACTCCTCATACCTATTTCAAAGAACGAAAATAAGCCTCTCCAGACACTCCCTAGTTTAGCCAAGCCTGCAGCAGCCCTGCAGACATTCAACAGTGCAATACTGACCCCTGTGAGCAACAACAACACAGGCTTCTTGCGGAATCTGCTGAACTCTTCCGGAGGAAAGGTATATGAAACACTTTGTTTCGCAGGTTGGAGTTGATACCAGGCTTAGACTGTTGTTGTAAACATCTGATCAGCTACCACAGACCCTTGCCACAGTCGGTAAAATGCTGCCTTCGTTTGGGAAAAGGGACTTAATGCAGTGTCTGTGGTGCAGTGCTCCAGTCAGTGCTTTCTTGAGTAGCTGCTTAGTGGTACTACCAGCAAGCCTTGCTTGGTGGGAGGGATTGGGAGCCAAGTGACAAAGCAGATGGATTTACTGAAGATAGTGCCTGGCAGGTGCATTGATTGGCATGTCCATTAGAGCCAAATGGAATTTGGAAGGAATTTACAGGTGGAAGGAAGAAAGTTCTGATGGGTGACCAGCTTTTTTGTACGTGGTTTGCAGACTGGTTCACTTCAGGTGTTCCTGGGCTCTGTTTGCACTTACAGCCAGGACTTCAAAATGGGAGGGTAAAATATTGGCCTTGAGAGTTCCTTGCTGAAACTGCATTTCTGTTCTTCGATACGAAGTCAGGCCTGTTCTGTGCTGTACTTCATGGCTTTCCGCAGCGTTGCTGAAATGTAAATTGGAGCAGAACTTCTTAACGCTGTAAGCAGTGTCAGAAGTTACGTTGCCATTTAATGATGGTGAGTTTCTAGGCAGCAAAGTTCTGCAGATCTTTGTTTCTCTGTGTGATTAGGAGCTCAAGTGAAAAACCTTTGAAAACGGTAGTATCTTCAGCAATATCAAATGTGCGTCGTCTTTTAAAGTCTGCAGCACGAAGGACAAGGCAACAGAAAAGTACACCAACTTCTCCTCTGTTCTTCTTTCTCTCATTATTTTAAAATCAGACAGACAACGGACTCAAGAGCACACCCAAAATCCTCGATGACATTTTTGCTTCCCTGGTGCAAAATCGAACCGTTACAGACCTGCCGAAGAAACCTCAAGGACTGACTATAAAGCCCACGATAATGGGCTTTGATACGCCTCACTACTGGTTATGTGATAACCGCTTGTTGTGTCTTCAAGATCCTAACAATGAAAGTAATTGGAATGTCTTCAGGGAGTGCTGGAAGCAGGGCCAGGTATTTACCTTTTTTCTGCTTTCTCCGTTCTCAGTCTGTGTGCTTTGCCCTCTAGTCCAGGTGCAGGTGCCAACTCACCGCAGTGGTAAGCGTGCTAAACCTCCGTAAAACGTGCTGCGTGCATGCGGGGCTGAAAGGGGGTGTGTGTTACTGTTGGGAATCGGTTTGTGAGGGATCTGTGGGGAAAGCTGCCTCAGCTTCAAATAAAGAACGATCAAACGCACGGCATCATTCCGCAAGGCAAAAACATGGCGTTCGCAGAGTGCCTGCGTTCGTGTATGTTTTACGCGTCGCCCTGTTCTGGTTGGAATTGGGATTTTTGGTGTTCCATAATTCTTCAGAATATATTTTTCTTCTCTGTAGCCTGTAATGGTGTCAGGAGTGCACCACAAATTAAATGCAGACCTCTGGAGACCAGAGTCCTTCAGGAAGGAGTTTGGCCAACAGGAAGTAGATCTGGTTAACTGCAGGACCAATGAAATCATCACCGGAGCTACTGTAGGTGATTTCTGGGATGGATTTGAAGATATTTCAAGTAAGTAGTGTGAATTTTTGTCCCAATGAGTAAAATATTCATCAGCAGTAACCTTGTCCTAGCACAGATTTGTCATCCCTAAGCAGCGTGAAAGGGGCTCCATGCTTACTCTTCATCCTGGACCGCGTGTCCGCGATGTGCTCTCACCAAATATGCTGTGGGATGGTGACGGGATAGAAATTGTCAGCCCCGTGGAGGCCTCTCCTTCAGGACTATGTTTGGTGCCTTTAGTCTTCCAGGGGAGGGTTCTCAAAATTTGGGGCCTTCCTAGCAAGTAGGTTCACCTGTCCGCTTTTTCTGCCCAGCGGAGTGAACCGTAGGGGAGCACATGTAGGGTTGGTGCTCCCGAGGTGGTGGGATTTTGCTGGTTTAACTTGCAGGTGCCTTTTGTTCCTAAAGAGCCACAGTTATTCTGTATACAAATGGGGGGAGGTGAGCATGAGGTTTGGGGTGGTGCACACTCCTAGGTACAGACTTTCCAGGAGGATTAATGCTTGCCATGGCATCACGGCTTCTACCTAATCTGTTTGTGTGGTGCAAACATGCAGAATTCGGCTCTTGGGGCAAGAAGAGTAGGAGCTGGAAGGCTCACTTACAGCTTTCTTTTCTGTTGCTTGATCTCTGAAAAGACTTGGCTTTATCATCAGCCACTCTGGCCTCAAACAGAACAGATGCCCGAGCTAAATGTAGGAATTGCGTGCAGAGGGGAGCTGGTACAGGCTACGTGTCTAGTCTGAAGGCTCCTTACTGCCATAGCACACTCATGTCTTTGGTTCTACATGAATAGGTGTGGAATGAACACTATCTTAAACTAAGATAAGCATTTCTTTCGTCTTGATGCCTTGGATTTTGAGTTGTACAACTGTTATAAACTGAGACTTGTTAATGTTTGATAGGTCGCCTGAGAACAGAAGAAGGAGAGCCAATGGTGTTGAAGCTTAAAGACTGGCCTCCAGGGGAAGACTTCAGAGACATGATGCCTTCTCGGTACGAGTTCACAGAGCAACTGTTCATCCTTTGTGTGGAACACCCCCCACATAACAGAGTGTAGGAATACTGTCATGTTTTGACACCTGCTTCAGCTTTGAGAAGCAGTTGGTCGCGTGTCAACCATCTCGGAGATGCCTGACACAGCTGGAAATGCTAAACAAGATTTATGATGGACTTTTATGTAGCTCACTGTATTTATTGCCAAGTAAAGCGAGCACCTAAAATTGCTAATGACTGGTTAAACTTTGGATGCTTCCAAAAAGCCTGAGTCATTTTAAAATCTAAAGTTTAACTGAAGCTTATTCTTTCTGCCAAACCTTTTTAAATACTCTGACTTACTCTATTTGTATCAGTTGCGATGATAACACAAGGAAGTAGCAGTTACATGACTGCTATATTCCTGTGTCTTGCTTGTTTTGTGCTTTTTTGTGGCACCCAGCAAACCCCTGGCGGGGAGAGGAGTACGGTTTCTCCACTGAAGAAAGCTTTTGTTGCAGTCTTACGGTGGTCTGCTTTTCTCACTAGTTCCTAACATTGAGTTGTGCTGTATTCCTTCAGGTTTGATGATTTGATGAAAAATATTCCACTGCCAGAATACACAAGGAGAGGCGGCAAGCTCAACCTTGCCTCTCGACTTCCCAACTACTTTGTGCGACCAGATTTGGGCCCCAAGATGTACAACGCCTACGGTAAGGAATCTTTTCACTCCAAAGATCATGTTGTCGGCACTCTCAAATTACAATTTACTGAAAAGTAAATGAATCCTTGCTGTTGTAGACAGTTTGATTAATCCCACTATCTGAAAACTGAACTGTGGCTCACTTACAGGTACTAGTGATGTCCAGAGCATTATATGGTGTTAGTGAATGTGTTTTATCCGTGTGGGTTCAAGCCAGTGATATGTATTTCCAGTCTTCCAGTCATCTTGCTCCACACATGTGTACACAAGCTCTTCCCCACAGCTGGCCACGTGCATTTGTTGTTTCGTCACTTCTGGCTCTATCCCTTTTGTTACCTCTCCCTTTTGGGCTGTACCATTTAGTTCCTAATCTCTTCTTGAGCAGTTCACCCGCTGTCATCCAGAGGGCATTTACAACTTGAAGTGGGCACGCGGTCTGGATAGGGACTGTGGCCCCTGCCTCTTAGAGTGAACGAGAGGCTGTTTCTGAGAACACTTTACCCCAGACTGCTACAGAAACCCTCTTCTAGCAGGACTGAAACAGGATTTGTATGTGTCATGCAGGCTTTGCAGGTCAGTGTGTCATCCTGTACACGTATCACTTGTGAAGACACAAACAAGGTAGGTCAAGGTCCGGGATATAGACTGTATTGCTGTACCATAATAATTGGATGATGGAAGTAAAAGCTCCTTCCCCAGACAGTGCTGCTGAGAATGGCATAAGGTGTCTCGGTCTTACTAACATATCTGCTACTTTTTTGTTTCAGGCCTAATAACACCAGAGGATAGAAAATATGGCACAACAAACCTGCACTTGGATGTGTCCGACGCAGCTAACGTTATGGTTTACGTGGGTATCCCCAAAGGCCAGGCCGACCAAGAAGAAGGTAATGTCTGCCTTGTGTTTGGGGCGGGGGGGAGGTGTGTTTCCGTGGAAGGTCCTTTAGCGTAACTGGTAGTGTGTGCTCTCAACAGAAGTGCTTAAAACCATACAAGATGGTGATTCTGATGAGTTGACAGTGAAGCGTTTTACTGAGGGTCGAGAAAAACCTGGAGCTCTGTGGCACATTTATGCTGCTAAAGACACGGAGAAGATCCGGGAATTCCTTAAAAAGGTAAGGCCTCCTGTCCATGTTGGCTTGTGGATATGTATCCTTGGACCCTTCGCCTTTCTATCCCAGTTACTCTGGAAACAAATATACTTGGATTGTATCCACAACAAAACTTCTCCTGGGCTGTGAATCTTGTAGGATCTGAGGAGGGCAGTGAGTTGAAGCTTGCAGAGATCCCGTATGTGGATACACTGGTTTGGGCCACGCTTCTCATGGCACAAGTAATGGTGTAACAAAGAAAGATCGCTGGCTTCCATTTAGGTGAAACAGTAGTTTAATCTTGAATTGGATGCTCCTTAAGAGCGTGCTCAGGAAATGTCAGAGCAATGTGGTGCATGAAGTTCTTCCTTGTTCTCTTCTACCTTTTTTTTCCCCTTTATGAGGTTTGGATTAAGGGAAAATCATGAGGTATTTTGGGTGATGCTTTCTTGGTACTTAAAGAATTAATATTGTTAATTGCTGTTGACAAAGAAGGAACCCTAAACCATGGTGCTGGCGTGGATAAGTGCTGGTGTCGTGAGTTTCGGTATCTGTCTCGCCTCCCCTCGCTCCCTCATAGTGTACACGCCTGCAGCTTCTCTTGGAGCAGAACCAAGCTGTTCATCTCCTCCCTAATGAGTCTTGGGACTCCAGTCCCGGGTGTAAATGATCGGCACAGCCAATAGGATGTATACTGTGACTGTTCTCATAAATTCTCCCTCCACGCCCCTCAAATTGCTCTTCTAAAGTACTTGTGCTGCCCAGCCTCCTTTCTCCAGCATACGTCGTTGGCACCCTGTGTTTTGGTCAGCGAGCACGCTTGCCCGGTGCTGGCCTCGGGGCAGACACCGGCTGAATTCCACACTCCATAGCTTTTTGGGGTCACTGGCTGTAATAGAGGGTGTTGATCCCACATCTGGCAGCGAGTCCCACTGCAAACACGCATCAACCCTGTCACTCATCCTTCTGTCTCCCCTTTCCGTGAGCTGGGGCTAGCTGTGTGTCTCACACCCACCTTTGCACTGTGTCCAGGGAGCAGGAGGGGCTGAGACACGATGGGGTTTGACCAGCAAACTGAGGGCTGACAGCGGCTCCAAACCTTCCTTTGCCAAACTCCTAGAGCCGCACACACGGCGCAAGTCCCTCCGCCTGGCGTGCAGGGGAGCACCACAGATGCGCCTCCGTTGGCCGGTGAGGCCAGTGTGTGGTAATGCCCCTCGTCTTGTGACTTTTCAGGTTGCGGAAGAACAAGGCCAAGAAAACCCGGTGGATCACGATCCCATTCACGATCAGAGTTGGTACTTGGACCGATTGCTAAGGAAACGCCTTCACCAGGAGTATGGAGTTCAAGGCTGGGCTATTGTACAGTTTCTAGGAGACGTAGTTTTCATTCCAGCGGGAGCTCCACACCAGGCAAGGACCAGGGACTCTGCCACGGCCTGACCCCTTGGGCAGACGCGTGAGCACGTGGCTAACGCTTGTTTGTTCTCTCCAGGTCCATAATTTGTACAGTTGTATCAAGGTGGCAGAAGACTTTGTATCCCCAGAGCACGTCAAGCATTGCTTCTGGCTCACTCAGGAATTTAGGTATCTGTCGCATACGCATACGAACCACGAAGACAAACTGCAGGTAACTTAACTGATGCTCAGAACGGTCCTGACCCGAGCTGTGTCCTTTGCTGGCGGAACTAAATGCCTCCTCTCCCCTCCCAGGTGAAGAACGTCATCTACCACGCTGTTAAAGACGCAGTCGGGATACTGAGAGCCAACGAATCCAGCCTTAGCAGACCGTGAGGTAGAAAGCCTTAACCACGCACTATGAAACAGAAGCGTTGGCAGCTGTTTTAACTACTCAGTCAGGACCTCTGCGGACTTTGAGATTATATGAATGTTACCTCATCTTCCTTTCGGCAGTACCAGCGGCTCGTGGTACTATGTTCTGTGTATCCTTCCAATGTTTACAAACCTGATATGTATATGTAGTAATATGTATGGACTGTGGCATACTGTGAATGCTCAGTTGCAATAGAACTTTATATGGAGTTGCTCTCCAGACTGTACAAAATACCTCCTATAGGACTGTTGGAAACGATTCCGAATTACACGTTTGAAAAATATTATTCGAGACCTTGTAAAGCTCCAATTTTTTAAAATGTATTTTGGGGTGTGGAGGGGAGAAGACCGGAGTCACCCAGTTTCATAACCAATTTACATAAAGGTAAGAATGCAGTTCTGGGATTTCGCATTAACATAGAACTAGCATTTTAAAGTAGCTTTAAGCTATTGTATAGTAACATAGAGATGGGGGCTAACCATCTTTAGGTAAATGTATTTAAATTTCTAAATGTTAAAAGGAACTTTTAATCAAATGTCTTCTGTTCGAAATGGCCCTTTCCTTTGGGCATATGTTTGATTCTCTGGTTTTTAACACTTGAATGGTCTACATAAAATTCTTCTATTTCAGATACTGTTCCTTGCCTGGCTTCTTCAATTGCCTCTTTCCAGTGTGATTAACGCGATGCCGCGCTTTGCGATGCAGAGGCGAGCGGGGGGTGTGTGTGCACCGCACCGCGCGTGCTGGCTCTCGAGCACGGGAAGGCTCGGCCTCCTGAACTCGGGTGCCGGGTCTGTTCCCGAAGTGTGACTTGGCTCGGCTGTTGCTGCTCAGCTGATGCCAGTTCCGTGGTCTGTAACAAGTGCTGCAGCTTGGGGCTTATGTGGCATGCACCTTGCTTCAAAACCACCCAGGGGCAGACTCGAAACATCCTAAACGGTGAAACAGGCACAGGGGCCGAGAGTGAAGAGCGCCTCGCTAACAGAAGCTGAGCTGAGGCAACCGCTGCTCCTGGTGTCCTTTTCAGCACTGAAGGGCTCAGGAGAGCTGTGGGGAGAGCCAGGCCCTAGGAACCTCCTACTCAGCCAAAAGTGTGAATCCCCCTCCCTGTAGTACTCCACCTGATACAGTGTGTGTTTCCCACAGCCCCTCCTCTCCCCTGCCCTCATCCCCTGCGGGTGCTGCCGCAGCAGAACTGACACATCCATCCAGCCAATGTGATGCCAGGTTGAATTCCGTGACACCGAACCCTCTTTGCAGTGCCAGGTTGAAAGGAGGTGAAATAAAGCTTTTCCTGGAGCTGGTGTGCAGGTACCTGAGCTCCCAGCGAGCGCGCTGGGCCGTGCTGATCTCATGCACGCGGATGTGGGGACAGACCCATTGCTGAAGCTGGGTTTTGAACCTCCTTACACTGTGCTGTTGTACCTGGCTTTACTGCAGCTGTTCCCCACTTACGGAGGCTGCTTTCATTGTCACCCACCCCACCTTACGGCCTCCTCACCTGCTGCTGCTGCTTTCTTACCCACCCTCTCTGCCTTCCTAAGACCACAGGAAGCAGCTGGTGGCGCTGGCCTGCTCTTGCAGGTAGTGGCTCTCCTGCCCCTGCAGGGCTCTGGCTAGTGACCCTTTGCCCGCAAGCCTGGGGCTGTGGCCACACTCTTCCCAGCAGGCTGGTGCTAACAGCTTTGATTTTTATGAGTCTCAAATGCCTGAAAAAGGCCATGACACCAGCCCGGATCTCATCCCAGACCTCACCAACTGCCACCTGCAACTGCACATCATGTCCCCTCAGCGCAGCAACTGCCACCGGTCAGGGCGTCTCTGCCAGCCCGTTTCTCTTTCACCCCCCCCCACACAGGGCCTGGGCAGAGCCGGAACCGAGCGGCTACGTCAGTGCTGCTCGACTGAGACCTTTTCTTTAACTGTGCCAAGAGACCCTAAATCAATTTTAAGGAAAAAGGTGCCATAAACACACGAGGGAGCTGCTGGAGGCGGATACAGTTTGTGGAAGGATTTACAGGTGATGCAAACTGCACTGACGCACAGGAGCAACCGTTAAAAGCAGCTTTAATCAAATCGGTAGTGACTCAGAAAAACAAAGATTTTACACCATGGAAGGTTTCTGGTAGCAGATTAAACCAAAGTGCCTCTGAGGGAAAGATGCTGCTTGAAGCTAAGGATGTGTTTCAGGGCTTTGTGTCTAAAAGTACGTAACACCACGCCACCATCGCTGTTTCACCACAGCCTCCCCCTGGTGAGACGGCCCGAACAGACAATAGGAAGATAACACGCTCCCCAAGAAGTAAGTTACAGGAGTTTCTTGGAGAACATGCGCCCCAGGAAGAAAAAAAAAATATATATATATTACATAAAATACTCTCACATATTAAGTAAGTTCTGCGTTTTCAAGGTAAAACAGAAGATCCCATTGCAGAAAAAAACAAAAAGGCCACTGTACAGACACGCTCCCTCCTCAGCTGCGGAGGGTGGCTAACCGCGACTGCATCGCCTCGATGTCTTCCTCCTCATCAACGGCAGCAGTCGCTCCTATGGGTTCCGGCTCCGGAAGAGCATCCGTGACTTTACTAGGCGCTTTACCCAAGGCCCCTGCAAACAACACGCAGGCTCGTTAGGTGCTGGCTCTTCGTTTAACAATTAGCAGCTTTCACGTGCATCTACATGGCTGTGGGGGGAGGAAGGCTCCTGCTCAGCGGGAAGGGAGCTGCTCCCAGCCAGGAGACAGGATGGAAAACGGCACAGCGGGATGTGAGAAACGAGGGAGGGTGGCCAGGAAGTGGCAGGGCAGGAGCTGGGGAGCCACGCTTCCAGTGTGTTACAGCTGAGCACAGCTCGGGGCACGCGGGTCACTCACGCCGTGTCACGAGGAGTTCGGGTGAGGGGCACTCTCTGCATCAGAGCTGAACCCAGAGCTCGTTACTTCACGAACTGCAGGGCTGGAGTCGGGGGTTGGGTTTTAGGGGGGCTGTACATTTTGTGGGTGTGTGGGCCAAACAACTCAAGACTAATCTAGTCAATGGTCCCAGTTCCACCTTGTTAAGAGGATCGATCCCCTGTCCAGACGCTGCTGGGTTAAAGGCACAGCGACAGCAGCTGATGCGCGTTGCTCCTGCTGTACCGCACCAGCCTTCTCGGCCGGGGGATGCCCCGAGAAACCAGGCTGTCGGAGCACCCCGCCTGTTGGCAAAGGCAGAGACACCACTGGGAGAGCGCAGTCCGGCCCGCAGAGACGAGCTGCTGGGCAGAGCAGGGCACCGCTCCCGGCACACACGCAAACTCACCAGCTGTAATTTCAAAAAGGATTTTTTCGATTTCCATCTCGGCTTCCTCCTCCATTTCCTCCTGATCCTCCATGCTCTCAAAGGTGTCCTCCAGCATTTCCTCTATAATACCAGCCTAGCAGAAACCATAAAGGCAGCACGTGATTTTTTTTGAGTGGAGTTGGACATGCTTCCTGCTTTGGTGATCAGGTGGTGCCTATCCAGGCATTTCACCACCCCCTGGCTTGACCCTCAAGCTCTCCAGATGGAGGCGGCCCCTCAAGGGTTGGCCCACACTCTTCCCTAGAATTTAAGGGCCTCTCTAACTGGTGCACAGGCCAAGCAGTAGGAAAATAGAGGATTCCACACCCGCGTTCCCAATTTGAAACCCTCAAGCTACTGTTCCTTGTTGCGTGGCTAAGCACTGACAACCCAGCTCGCTCCAAGCGGCTGAAATCCAACTGCAAACTTCGTCTCTAAGGCATAAGTTGCACAATGTGCTGTAAAATCCGCATTTGGCCCCGGTTCCCTTTTTTCTGTCTGTGTTTGAAAACCTTCCTCTGCGGGGCCTGCAGCCCAGATGTGCCCAAACTGTTCTGGTGCAGCGTGGTACAGACCTTGAGAACAGGCTGATGGGAACTGAACAGTCTAGAGAGGCGAGAGGGGAAAAAGCAAACCCGTTTTGGCAGTTGAAAAGGAAACGGCCGCAACAGAGAATGCTTTAAAATTGGAGGACTTCGAGACGCTACACTAGGTGTTTAAACCCAGGACAGAACTTGCCCAGGATGGGCTTTTCAGCTTCCTGCTCCGCAGTGGGCAGCGGTGGCTCTTGAAGAACACTGTCATCCCTGGAAGCAGGAAATTCAGTCTCTCCAGAAGAGCCGGAAGCTCAAGGACATGGGCAGCGACTGGGTGTGAACCCTGCTTTGAGCCTCCGTGCTCCCTGCCGCCGGGGGACTGCCCTCCGCCCTCCACCCCAGCAGCTTTATGCAAAACGTGCTGCAGGTTATCGCTGAGTCAGGGTTTTCCTCACAATCCGTAACTTCCTCAAGCCCCCGGCTGCTGAAAGTTTGTTAAGCTCACGGGCGGCCTCCGACAAAGGGGCCACCTAGGTGGTCACACAGCCCTCCAGCACGCTGAACCAGCCCACCCACGCGTCCTGGTCCTTACCTTCATCATCTCCTTGGACAACTCCCTCATCGTCGCTTGGATTTCAGGGATTTTTACTAGGTTTTGCATAGCTTTCATGACTTCCGTGCTCTTCTGCAACGAACCTGCCACTCTCAGGACGGCTGTGAAGGAGGCAGAGAAAAGCTTGAACGATCCCTGCACCTCCGAAAGCAGAGATTACACCCTCCCAACACTGACAGAAATTCCTTTGCATTTGGGCGATTTAATGAAAAAAAGAAAGGGACATCCCGCTTCTTCACTCTTGTCTACCTGCCTGGAAAAGCTCCCCTACCGACATCAGAAAAACCAAGTTTCTAGCAAAGGCAGCGGTCCTGCATGATTGCCTGCAGAGAGATTCCGACCCGCTGCCGCTCCAGGTCACGGGCGGAGACCCCCAAGGGGCCCTGCCCCACAGCAGAGCTCTGGCCGAGGGTTTCACCAGCGGAGCCACAGCCCAGCTCCGCGTCTGACTGCTGACCCAACCGGCGACCTGCTGCCTGACGCTGCGCCGTGGAAACGAACTGAAAGGCCCTTGCAGCAAGAAGCCAGCTAGAAAATCCACACCGAGGCAGATAAGCTGGAAATAAGCAGTTTGAACCGAATTTAACGATACTCTTCCCAGCGGCTGTTGTCACGATACAGCTTAGAGGCTGTTCTCATACATGTCGATACGCTGGGATCAAAGTGCAGTAATTAAGGGTACTTGGAGATTCTGGAATTCTGCCAGCTAACCCTGCAGCTTCCTACCCACAGAGAACTTACTTGTTAAAACGGTCACTCCTTAATGAAGCAAAACGAAGGTACAGCATATATTATTTTTCATTTTAACTCCTTCAAGAGCTTTCCATTGTGACATAACAAACTAACGGAAAGCTTGCCTTCAGCCGCCGTTTCCCAAGGAACATTCCCACAAACCCCAGACTGACTTCTGGATTCCTTCCTACGGCTCGGGTAGAGCATCCTGTACCGAGCAACATACTGCTCCGTGTCAGAACGTCCCCAGAAGGATGGAGATGCCCGGAGCAGAAATAAGGAGGCAGCTGCTTGGAGCCTGACCATTTGAGGGGCACCCCAAGCTGCAAGGATGGCCCCTGCTGCCCTTTCCTGACATAAGGTCGACATTCCGACTCCCGATGCATCACCCACCCAGTGTTAAAATCTAGCTTGGATAATGCCGGGTGGGGGAAGCACTTGGACACCTCAGTAACGTGTTAACCCCTGCCAAGTCTTTCCCTGTCTTTAATGGTTTTTACTCTGCTCGTTACAGGCCAAAACGCTCCAAGGTATGGAAAACGCTCAGGAATTCTATGGCAACAGCTTTCTGCCGTGGCTGAGGAGTGAGGGAAACACGCTGGCATGGAGGGGGGGCACAATGGACCACGGAGGGTTTACAGAGACGGAGGTTATCGAGCCACGTGGCAAATCGATTCATCCACAAAGAAATCAAACACTGCCCCCCCCCCTCCATTTAGGGCTTAGTAAGCGTCCCAAGACTCTCGCTAGAGGAACAATCATGTACGAGAAGGGGGAAATTCTGCTGAAGGAAACAAACCTCACGTTACACATCCTGTCACAATCAGTAACGACAACAGGCTCCGCAGGGATGTTGGGCACGCATTCCAACTGTTCAGAAACGTGCCCCTAATCACTGGCGGAGAGTTCGGTTTCAGAGCACGTGATTCTCGCCTTCAGGCTCCGGGGAGATGTGTTCGACTACCTGCTGAGCAGCCAGCCAGAGGGAACACCGAGGGGTAGGAGCCCCAGGGAGTTAACTGACTACTCCAGAACCCAGGGTGGGAGCACGGCCATCCTGGCATGGCGGTGGGGAAGCGGTCTCCAGAACATCCTGCAGACTGAAGGGGTTACTGCCTACAGGGATATAGGGCTCAGTATGGGATGCAGGGGAAAAGAGCATTTTCTGACCCAAGAAAAGCTTGGAATCTTTTAAGGGGGTTGCAGGAACATAATTGAACATGAGAAACTTCTTACTGGATGTTTAGGGGAAGGACTGACAGTGGGGAAAGGGAGGGTCAAGGTGGACCAGGGAAGCCCACAAACCCCAGGAGCCTACAGGTCCCAGTACCAGAAGCTCAGGCAGAGGAGAAGGTCCAGGCCCAGCTACCGGACAGGTGGCCAGCTGAGACCCAGTGTCTGCAGCAGCTGCTGGAACACCCATGTCTTGCGCAGGTGTGTGTATATGCATGTTCCTCCGGTGGACCTCAACCCTAACCAGCTGGAGAGGAAGAGCAGGATCGGGCAGTCAGTGCTGCCCCCGTTTGTGTGAAAGCTGCACGTGTTCTCGTGGGTGCTGGCAAAGGCACTACTGTGAGTGTGTGCGAGTGCCTGTGCCTCCTGGGAAGAGGCGCTCTGCCCGGCTGGATGTGGGGACAGGGAACTGCAGCAGCCTCGCACCTCTGGGCCTGCGGCAGGAGGAATTTCCCTGGGTCCTCAGCCCACCGGAGCCAGCTGCCTTTCACAAGAGCAGGACTGCTTCCAAAGGCAAGCTCTGCCTGCATTTGACCCTGGTTCTGAAAACGGAAACCCAGACCTCACTTCTAAAGCCAGAAGCACTCAGGAGCTGTTCTTACCAAGCTGGTTCTTCATCCCCATGAGGACAGAGTTCATGTGAGCTTTGGATGCATAGAGTTTGCTTACGGCCTTCCGAGAGCGGATCAGTTCCTTTGCCAAGATCACGCACACATCCTTCTGACCCTTTTTGGCAGCATCCTTTATTGACCGCTTCACCTTCTCCTCTTCTCTCTGGATGTCTGGAATCCAGAAAAAAAAAAACCATCAATAGTGACAAGCTGCTAAGTCAAGTACGTACACACACAGTTTGCTGTACTGATTTGCTGGGGGCAAGATTACCTCTCCTGCAGTCATCGCCAGGGCGCCCCACTTCACCCCAAACAAAGCTGCACACCAAGTTTAAAGCCAGGACTCAGAAGACAGACAGGATTTCGGTAGCAAACCCGCTCAGCTGTCAGACCACATTCAAAGCTTAACCCATATGCCCACTTTCCAATGAATTTGAGGGATGTTGTACGCAAAACTGTCCTGTTTCTGAATACCTGAAATGTGTTTTTCTGGGAAAGAAATACATTCAGAAAGATTGTACAAGGCTGATCTCAGAGGCTAGAAAGTTTTGGACACACACTGCCTTAAAAAAAAAAAAAAGCATAACCATTCATACAGTGAATCTGTAAGGGTGCAGCCACAATTACTTAGAACTGCAGATTTGTTAATTACTGCCAAAACAAGCCTTCATCCTTGCTGGCAGACTCAATTATTCCCCCTTGTCAGGCACAACTCACTGAGCCTCAGCTGGATACCCAGGCAAGTCAATACTTGTGCTCAAGGAGTTAAGGTCTTCAGTTTACACTGCTCGAGACACGTGCATTAGGTGTTTGTATGAACGGCCACGTTCAAACTGTAAGCTGGCTGGTGCCAAAGCTATGGATAATTTACCCGTGAAAACTACTACGCTGGTAAATCATTACATATAACTGACAACAGCCTGTTCAAACTCTCTTAGTGTCCAGCTTCATCCAACAGCTTTTTCTAAGGGCATGCTGGAGCAGGAGTACTGAACTATGCCGGTACAAAACAAGCACCCAATAGCTGGATACGAAATCTTACACACTAAGTAGGCTTCCCTAAATAACGCAGGTTTCTCTGGCAAATAGCCAGCGACTTCACACATCTGCCTTGTCAGATAATGCTGGCTGTGCACAGCAGAAGCCAGGTACCTCAAAAAGCTCAGGGTAAGAATTGCAGGAACAAGGAGGGGCTCTATCAACCCCCTTCCTTTTCCAGACATTCACCAATGAAATGAGTATCCAAGAGTCCACAGCAAAATTATCCTAAAGGATAGGCTTCAGATAGTAAGGGTTAAGCTCCTGCAAAGGGTTGAAGGAAATGACCACAAGAATAACTATTTCTAACAAAGGCTGGGTTCAAATCTGGGTTTGTTTGAGTCTTCTTGATTTATACGAGACAGGAGTTACATGTAGGCAAGAATAAGGAGTTTCCCTTTTGTAACAACAAAGGCAACAACGCACACGTTTGGGCACTTGGAGACCAACGCAGCTTCTCAGGTGGGAGATAACATACGCCGTACTCCTGTCATTCTCTCGATCTCTTTCAGTGGTGTCTTTATCCTAAGGGACTGGCAGAAATCCGGAGGATCGTAAGCAGAAAAACACACCCCCTCTGCTGCTCCCCCACTATTAGCAGGGGAAATGGCACAAGCTTGGAGACATCTGTATGTCGGACACGGGCGTGAGCCCAGCCCCGGCACACCAGGACGGGTAAGGGAGAGCGCCCCAGCAACACCCCGACAGCCCCAGAAGCACTCCAGTGGTACCCAGCGTGACGACGTTTGCTTCGGCAGGCTGAAAACCACCACAACTACTGCATGACCACACCCAAACTAGGGTAGTGGGGCCCACACTCGAGTGAACGCTTTCACTTGCATGACGAACTGCTGAATATGAGATCAGCGGCATAAAATATGCACGGACGGTCGACTCCACCCTTGAAGGGCAATGCCAGCTACGCACCTCCAGTGAGCCAAAGTCACCGCACCAGCCCCCCGGCAGCACTACCAAGCACAGCAGAGGCACAAAGCTGTCCAAAGCACCCGTGAGAGGGACTTACAAGCTGAGTAAAGCACAAAGTTACTGTATTACTCCAACTATATTAACTCAAAAAAATCAGTTCTGAACTCACAAGGATACCTTTCATTATCTCCAAACCTTCCAAGCCCTCCAAGGCAACCTACACCAAACAGAAATCGTGAGAGTCCGAGGACAGATGGTTTGAAACAGCATGTTGCTGTATCAATAACTGTGCTGACTAGGTGAGCCAAGCATTCCGAGTGATCCAACCCCCACCCAGTTCATCCCAGGCAGGCCCGAGCGCTACAGTATCAAAACACATCTAGCACAGCCTTCCCCAGGGAAGCTAAAACAGGTCCCAGCTCAGCATTCCTACTCAAATACGGCAGCAATTCCCTGTGTAAGTCTCATCTGAAGTGCTAGAAGCATGGCAGAATCCAAGTGCAGTGGGTAATTTTTGAAGAGAACCCCTCTCGTGGCATGTGGTTGTCATCTGCCAGCAGCAGCCTGACTGCCTGGTAAGTGGCTGGCAGAACCACACACTTCCACAGCTGACACTTGCCAAGATGGGAAATCCTAGCACAGTTTGAGCATGACAAAGATATCCGGTACTTGATTTTAATGGGAATTATCAGAACCGCAGGTGGGTAGTCTAAGCTCTTACACGCTGAACTGTGTTCCTGTGAATGTAACACACTGAAACACATCTACAGACACATTTAAAGCTGTTCCAATGATTAGATTTACATCCATGTCAAAATACCAGACTATCACATAACCCAGTACCTAAACAGGCCATTAGAAGTATTATGGCACACACACAGTTGAGAGAAAAGTAGCGTTTCAAGAAGCCATCAACAGTGAACACATGGGTAGTTTGCTCCCACAGAAGATGCAACCTCTAAAATGTACTTTGCTAATAAGATCAGCCAGGTTTCAGTTGCTCTGTGCCCGACACAGCCACAAAAAGCGCCTTGGAGAACGCAAAACAATGCACAAGCATAACCAACGTCACTGTACATCGGTTTTCCTGGAAGAGGCACAAACCCTCTCCTCATTTTACAGAGGACAAAGACAGACCTTGTACTGCACGAGCATCTCCAACCAACCAACTCGTGCAAATCTACAAGTGGGAGCATACATCAACCCTGCCAGTTTGCTCCAGAAGCAGGGAGCCGGGGAGGAAAGGGAGAACTCCTCACGTCACTCAGAACGTGCCTAATAACCAGATGCAGGCTCAAAATTTCCCTTGCCAATCCTGAGGGCAGGGCGGCAGACAAAAAGGGGAAAACAGAATCTAGCCCCAAACCTATTCTCAGACTCTAGGAAGGTGGGCAGAAGGGAGAACAAGAAGCTGAACTAGCAGCAGCGTAACAACAAACCACTTCTCTGCTTTTCAAGACCTCTTCAAAAGTGTAATGCCCAGAATTTAATAGCAAAACACCCACTGAGAAAAGCCTTTTTTCTCCCCTCTCTGGTCTGCAATTTTCCTAAGCTGACAGCAAGCTACTTTTGTTCAGCATGTGCACCTCACGCCAGCCCATACCCACAGACCTCTGTACGCGTGGATTTACACGCCGGTACTATTCATTAAATCAACGTAGGTGAAGTTCTGGGTAAGTCGTCTAATTCATCGTATTAAGTGGGATTTAAGAGCATTATGTCGTACTGGAAATATGCAGTATTCAGGTTCTTTTGAAAATTTTACTTGGAAGACTTCACAGCGATGTCATTTTGTAACGCAGACTAAGCCTGGCCCCAGGATCCACTCCAGATGCCACAGAGTACCCTAACTTACTAGATTTCACAACCTCCCCCAGTGAAAGCAAAAACACGTTGAATGACAACAGGGCAAGGAGAAACAAGAAATGAAAGAGAAGTACAAACCTCTGATCTGTCTATCAATCACTCTCATTTCTTTCCTTATCTTCAAGGACCATTCATTGACCTTAAAAAGAGAAAGGGAGAGTCATTTGAAATTCCAACTTTAAAACTATGCTTTTATACTTTCATGTAACTACTCAATATCAAAACCATTTGATACTGAATAGTTAACCATTCAACTTCAAAAGAAGCACTTCAAAACGCACGAGCTTTAAGTTACAAGAGATGTTTAAATATTTCATTATTCAAATAAAAAACCCACCATTGCAGAGCTACCACCAATGACTGCTGCACTCTTAACGTTCAGACAGGAGGTTCAGGGGGACACGGTTTGGGAACCAGAGATGCTCACTGGCTGGCTGACTTCCTACATCACAGCGACGTCAGGGTGCAGAGCCGCAGGGGATTTCAGCATAAGGTAGAAACGTTGGCACGGGACGACAGCACCCAGAGCGCTACTACCCATTTCGGTCAGAAGGCGCCCCAGGAGGTCTCCCAGCCAACCTCCTACTCAAAGAGGGACCAAGTTCAGAAAGGTCACTCGGGGTCTGTTGAGTTTTGACACTGTCCAAGGGCAGACACGTCACAGCCGCTCTGCACATCTGTTCCAATTTAATCACTCCTGTGATGAAGAACTTTCCTCATGCCCAACACAAAATCCTCCTCTAGCCACCTGTGCCTGCAGCCCCTTTCCTGACACTGGGCACACCTGGGAGGTACTTGGCTCTGTCTTCACTACAACCCATTAAAGGCAATGAAAGGCTTCACACCCTTGTCCCTCTGCCTTCTCTTCCACTTCCCTCAGTCAGCTTGCAGATGACACTGTGTTGTGTTGGGTGGGAGCGTTGATCTGCTTGAGGGAAGGAGAGCCCTGCAGAGGGATCTGGACAGGCTGTATCGATGGGCTGAGGTCACTGTAAGAGGTTCAACCAGGCCAATTGCTGGGTCCTGCATTTAGATCACAACAACCCCAGGCAGCACTACAGGCTTGGGGACGAGTGGCTGGAAAGCTGCCTGGCAGAAAAGGACCTGGGGGTATTGGTTGACAGCCTGCTGGATATGGGCTGACAATGTACCCAGGTGGCCAAGAAGGCCAAGGGCATCCTGGCCTGCATCAGGCACAGTGTGGCCAGCAGGAGTAGGGAAGTGACTGTGCCCCTGTACTGGGCACTGGTGAGGCCTGACCTCGAGTACCGGGTTCAGTTGTGGGCCCCTCACTACAAGAAGGACATGGAGGTGCTGGAGTGTGTCCAGAGAAAGGCAACGGAGCTGGGGAAGGGTCTGGAGCACAAGTTGAATGAGGAGCAGCTGAGGGAGCTGGGGGTGTTCAGCCTGAAGGAGGCTGAGGGGCGACCTAATGGCTCTCTACAGGTACCGGAAGGGAGGGTAGGGAGGCGGGTGCTGGTCTGGTCTCCCGGGTAACTGGTGACAGGACAAGAGGAAATGGCCTCAAGTTGCGTCAGGGGAGGTTTAGATTAGGAAAAACTTCTTCACTGAAAGAGTGGTCAGGCATTGGAACAGATTGCCCAGGGAAGTGGTGGAGTCATTATCCCTGGAGATGTTCAAAGAATGTGTAGACGTGGACCTTGAGGACATGGTCTAGCAGGTATGGCAGTGTCGGGCTGATGGTTGGACTAGATGGTCTAATAGGTCTCTTCCAACCTGTGTGATTCCGTGATTCTTCTGCAAGCTACAGTGAGCCCAGTTCCCTCAGCTCGCTCCTGTGACATGGGCTCCAGTCTTCCAGCATCTTGGTGGCCTTCCACTGCATTCTCCCCAGTTTGTCAATATCCTTCTCGCACTGGGTGCCTAAACCAGACACTGTTTTGCAGGTGTGGCCTCCGTGCTGAATACAGCAGAGTAGTTGAACAAGCATTTGCCTCTGAAGAGCTCTGATGCTACTTTTATTAGCAGCAGCACAGATTTGCACGTCGTCTAAAAAACCCCCAAAGTATTGAGATGATCTCTAGCTCATGGATCCTCTCACATGCCAGTGCGCAGGCCACTCGAAGTGTGGTTGGCTGTATGAATAGCTCCATATGAAAGTTACCCTGATTTTTATGTAATTTTTTAATTGAAATAAAAAGCCTCATCTACCTGAATAAGCTTCATAACAGAACTGTAAGAAGAGCACTCTTCCGTGCATGAGGAGGAGAGATTCTTAGACTTTCACCGGTCTCAGGAGAAATGCTCTCAGACATGATGAACAAGACCACGTTTTGACTACAGACAGCAACTACCACTCGAGTTACCCAAGCACAAAATCTGCTGGGGAAAAAAAAAAAACCCAGACCCAAAAGCCCTGTAGAGTTCTGTGCGTAGACATTACGGGTGCGTAGAAGTTTCGAAGGGGTTTCAGAAAGCTCCTGTACCTTCATCTGTACCTGAATCCTGTTTTATTAGGAGAAGAAAAAAAACAAGCAACCCTTGCAGGTCCAACTGCAGCCTCCCCTCTTGTTCTTCAGAGCAGAGTAGATTTTGTATATATTCATTCCCCCCTCTGCTCTGCTCTCATGAGACACCACCTGCAGTGCTGCATCCAGCCCAACATAAAAAGGATATCTACCACTGGAGCACCTCTGCTATGGGGACTGGCTGAGAGAGTTGGGCTTGTTCAGCCTGGAGAAGAGAAGGCTCTGGGGAGACCTTATAGCACCTTCCAGTACCTGAAGGGGCCTACAAGGAAGGTGGGGGGGGCTTTTTACAAGGGCCTGTAGTGACAGGGCGAGGGGTAATGGGTTTAAATTGAAAGAGGGAAGATTTAGATTAGGTATGAAGAAGTAGTTTTTCCTGGAGAGGGTGGTGAGGCACTGGAACAGGTTGCCCAGAGAAGCTGTGGATGCCCCATCCCTGGAAGTGTTCAAGGCCAGGCTGGATGAGGCTTTGAGCAACCTGGTCTAGTGGAAGGTGTCCCTGCCCATGGCAGGGGGGTTGGGAACTGGATGGTCTCTAAGGCCCCTTCCAGTCCAAACCATTCTGTGATTCTATGATTCCTCACCACGATATGATGCTAAGAAGGTCCCTCTTTTGAGTATGCTTACACTAGAGGGAGAAAATTAGGGAAAAGAGACTGAGGTAAACCATGATTGAACTCTGTCTGGCCAACTGTCATGTCCCAAATGTAACCCCTTCCAGAGATCTGCTCTACAACTCCTGCCCTAGAACAAACCAACATGCATTAAGCCATCATGTGCAAGCACGATTAGTAACTGCCCAACGAACTACAGGAGTCACAGATTCTGTCTCTGTAATGCACAGCCCAGCACAAAGACACCATTAAACCAGGTACCATCAATCCCCGAAAAGTCTGCCAAGAGAAAACTCTGACAGCTCATCCCTAATGCAGCTCAGGAGTTAAGCTGTTGCACACGACTGCCCTCATAAAGGCAGAGCTGGGTGCTTCTGCATTTTCTACACTCGTCACCAGCTTTGTGTGTAAGAGGAGGAGGAAACCCTGCTGACTCTCATGTAGACAACTGCATGCTTCCAGTTACACGAGACACAGCAATTTGTTGCACAGCAAAGAAGCTGTAGTGGGACTGCACACAGGAGAGCAGGGATATGCCTGCTAACCACAGCACAACCCAGCACAGAGGTAGCAATGCTGGAAATAGAAGCACTTCAGTCACTAAGCAAGGCTAATTACCCCGAGCACAACTCCATGCTGATGAAGCTATTCCACTTCCAGTTCCAACAAGCAAAACTGTCGTTCTCACAGCACCGCATCGCACCAGTCAGCCAGCAAAACACTAAGCTCACACAAACCACTCGGACGACCCTGGAGGAAAAGCACTTTTTTTTAACTAAGACAATCCAGACATGACATTACAAGTAGAGTAAAGGCCCAGCTTTAGACAGGGTATAACAAATCAGCTCCTCACAAAGGCTGAAGATGTTTGCCTTCTATCATTCATAAATAAATTTGCTTCCATGAACCAAACCTACAAATTATCCCAGGGTGAATCACTGCCATCACAAAAATCTCAAGCCCATCCCATCATCAGCCCCTTCCTGTGGCACCCAGATTGCCTTCTGTAGCCCTGCTCAGGAACAGTATCTTATGCACAGTGGTTGGCAGACACAGGGTAAGTTGTGCTGTTTCCCCATACCTCCTAAGAAATAACTTCTTCCTTCTAAAGCTGTGCAGTTAGATAAAGGAGGAAAGAAATTTCTTACTATTAATGGGTTTCTCAATAGCTCTGTTACAGCCCGTGAAGTCATCACGCCAGCCTGCAACCCACGAGCGTGCTCATGACGGTACGATGAGCCAAGTCACTACTCCCTACTGGTCAGACACACCTGTTTTCTAGCACCTTTGGAAGCTTTTCTGCAAACAGCTCCACAGTGACCCGCTGTGTTACTGGAAAACACGACAAGCTTGGCAGTTAGGGAAGGGGAAATAGCAGTCATCAGACAGGAAACAACAAGGACTTATCAGTGCCGTATAACCACAGTGTGCAGTTAAACAGCTTTATCCCACCATTGACAGCAGCTGCTTCCAAAGCCCTGGTCTTCCAGCGGTATCTCCCAGCACCGCCCATGAACGGAGGAAACTATAACCAACCTGTGTGGTGCTGACACAGGTAGGGAAGGAAGGGAAAGCACACTATCAGAGGTACATTCCTCATCTAATGCTAACGCCCAACAAGCAAGACCTCCAACCTGCTCCCCTGGGACTTGGTTGGTACAAAGCAACAGGGAACATCTGTGACACTGGAGCTCTTCTAAGCCTTTAACTTTGGTGTCTGCCACCTTCTCCCTGTTGCTTTTTCAGTACCTTTAATGTATCTGACCTTTCCCCGCACCAAACCGCAGATTTTTTTTTAACACATTAGTAGTGATTTATGAAGGGCAACAGTGAAATCCGTCCGTACCTTGATTATTCCATTTCACTGTGACACTAGAAATCTGTGCACAAGCAAGGCTTACAGTTTCTCTGCAGACTCAACACACTCCCTCCGCCAAGTCCCAATATTTCAGCTATTCGTATTTTTAAGACTGTCTTTGCAACAGGAGCTAGAGACTATGGGAGACGGCTAACAGCAAGGCTAAAACCCCA